CCGGAGCCCCGGCAACCCGTTAAGTCTTCCGCGGCTCCGTATCGGCATCAGCCCTGTTAGGCCCCATCTGTGGTGGTCTGATGGCTCCTTGAGGCGCGCGCGGAACGCGACGCGCCGTACGCTCGGGCCTGGTTCTGGTCGGGCGGCGAGTCACCCGTGCTCGCCGTCCGCAGGCCCGTGCTTACGGTGGCCGGAGATCGTCTCGCGATCCCCGACGCCCGGAGTGTCTCTCGCGACGGCCGGGTCGTGAGGAGGTTCGTTCCCTCACGCGCTCCGCCTCCTCCTTAGCATACGGTTAACCCCTATAGCCTTTTTATGGCTTGCTTCGATCAATGAGCTTTTTGCTGAGACTCGTATTTTGAGTGAAATAGGTAATAGGCCGGATGTCAACATTTTAGGTATTATTACCTACGGGTTATTTTTTTTTTATTTCTACACCGTGTGATCTTAAATTATTTCTAAAATTTTTTAACTCGCAGGTCCTCGTAAACATTCAAGTACTGGACTCAGACTTAACTTGGGCGGGAATATTTGAAAAAATGGAGGCTTTGAAAGCCGAAAACAGAGAAGTGTACTCATACATAATCACTGTAATCCCTATAGATTATATTTACAACACAATAATTAACCAGAGCTCTGGTAACTATCGGGCCAAAGGAGTCTGTTCCTGGAAGTGGATTAAAAAAGTAATGTCTATCAAGCCACAGATCGTGCCCAAAAAGAAGGCTCTAAATAATTTGGTTCCATTTGAACAAAAGTACGATATTACAAGGCTGAAAGAGCTCCCTTGGTCTGTTATGTTTCATAGATAAGACTTCTTATCTTTCTTAGCTCTAAGGTTTTATTAGTAAGGTCCTAAATTATATACTAACATATTTAGGTACTTTCTTCCTTTATTTATTTTATTGTTTCTTCATTTATTTCGTTTATAATTTTAAAACATTGCTCTCTAACTGCCTCGTCAATTGAGCTGCAACTCTGAGAGCGAGGTTTCGGGCATAATTTCCGATTTGGACCTAGTAGGTACCGATCAGATTTTAATAGGTACTTTTCTGTTACTACTGTGATTTTGTTTTAGTTTAATGTTCAATAATGTTTGTTAAGTTTGATTTAAGTAAGAGTTAAGTAAGTCTTCTAAGAAGTTTAATTGCATTGTTAAGAAATGGTATACTTGAATAAAATGTTACAATGATAGTTGTACATTTATTATTTGTTAGTTCGGGTCTTAATCGTAGCTAAATACTACCTATCTAAGATACTATACTACTACACGGAATTGACATAAGACATGTAGCGCGTGGCTGACTATAGAAACAACGGATCTATCTATATAACAAATTATGTCTGCAGGACACTTTGTGCTGACCGCACCAATACTTACTGATTTTACAGATAATTAAGCCGAGGCCACCTTTCCTGCAGTCTGCAGTCCAAAAGTTAGTCATGAATTATTTGAAAGGGACTAGGGAGGCTCTGAGGACCTTTGGCCTTCTGATTGGTTAATTAACGTAGAGCAACCAATCAGAGATAAACGCGTTTCGATCGTGTCTGATGAATATGACAAATTTTTTTAAACTAGAAACTAGTGAGCGTGTAAGTTTCAAAATCGGAGAATTCTGTCTTGTGTTCGTTTTGCGTAAATATGTGCCTGTGACTATTGGTTAAAAGTAGCACTTATAATGTGCGTAGTGATACCTACTATAAACCACTGTGGTCTATACAGTGTCCTTGGAGTAAGGATCGAACTAAACAGGGTCATAGGAGGTCAAGGTTATTCCCAAAGTTGTCGAATTCTCACCGTTTAAAAAGGATGAATGTACCCTGTCCTGTCCTCTTGTTCAATTTGATTCTTATTCACAATTTCCACCTAAGCTAAATAGAAACCTAGTGAGTGAATGAATTGTTAAATTGTTAGTAGCATGCAACAAAAACAAGCGGTATTGCAGTGGTTAGTATTAAAACTTTATATTCAAAAATTAGATATTATATTTGTATTGTAACTTTCGTGAGACATACTAAATAAATTATAACGTTTTCGGCATTTGAGTAGCAGCGCGACAGTCGCCGCGTCGCGGGTCGCGAAATGCTGCTCATGAATATGAGCCTCTAGCATGGCTTGAAATTAGTCGAATTCCTCGTCAAATTATTACGTGAGTAAGCCGAAAACATAATAATTTATTTAGATATTATAGTAAGTTAACAAAATAATACTGATAAGTTACATATTTACAATGTTAGCATACATATTCACACCAAGCAATGACATTTTATTTTTAGCAAAAGGTTCTGTAGAAATACTTACTTATTTTAACGCTGTTCATACAGTCAGATCGATCCTGGCTAAATACTGATTTATACTGATACATATTTATATAGAGAGCTGGATTTCATTTGGACCTTACGACCTTTGTGTAAGGATAATATTTGTCTAAACAGAACCATTATACATACTTTATTAAAGGTACATACATTAACATACTCCTTTCTTTAAACTCTTTCTTTTAGATTTTCAACCGTATAACTTTGATATAAAGTAGAAAATCCAATGAGAACAATTTACAGATGAAAGTCAGTTGGCCTGCTGGTCACTCTACATAGATTAGCCAAGTTTATTACATGATAAAGCGAAGTATTATAAAAACATTATGCTAAGGTACGATATTAATGTTAGTCCATAGTCCCACCTATGTAAAACCTAAGCAAGCATATTAATGAAATAAGCTCCTAATAACACTTGAAAAATTGTTAGAACAAATTATTGTTAGTAGGCTCAAAATACTTAATATTTTGTAAAGAAAAACCTTCACTTCTGTGCAAGGGACACGTATTTTCTATAATGGTGCGTCCACATCTGGCGTATGCGGCGCTCGTGGATCGCGGACGCATCACGAATACGGAATATCACCATGCTCGTGAGATGTCAGACGTGGACGTACCATTATAGGAAAAACTTAAAAACAATTGAAATTGTATTATTAAAAGACTTTGTAGGAACCTACGGTTAACTTACACTGTTCGACGACTTTAGAGTATTCGAGTGGTTTCATGCCGATGGTACACAGCTATTTAAGTTGCGCGTGCACGACAACTTATACGCAAAGCTCTTATTTCTCAGGAAAGACTTTACATCAATTGGACTTCGTGCCCTGTCAGAGATTTTACGCTCGTTACTAGATGCTATAAATGCCAGCAATAATTTCGCTGTGTATCCATGATTATGAGCCCCTTTTGCTGCTCGAAACTAATCGAGTACCTTCAAAGAGTTACATAACTGATTTTTAGTAATCCTTTGTTGTTCTAAAACCTACATAATACTTTCTAGCATATAAACCTTAGCCTACTTTTTTATAGCATCATATCAAGTTCGGCAAACAATAACTACCAACTTAACAAATCGACCTAATGACTTAACTGTTTTATAAAACATAAAACTCAAAACTACTTCTTTTGTCAGTTTTTGTAAAACAATTTTCTCGAGGATATCACGCTATAACCAGCTATCACCCCTTACTGTATGGTGCATTATTTAGGACACCCTGTATAGTGTTCCATTTTCTGGCTATGTGTGAGTGCTTTCTAAAACATATAAACTTTGCACAATCTACATAGTTGCAAGCAGAAACTACTTAAAAGCTTTGATTTTTATGTAGTGTTTGGAAGTGTAGCAAATTAATTTCTTAAATGACTACAATTAGGATAGGCAGTCTGTTAACAGACTGCCTAAACTAGACTGACTAAAAACATTGAGATTGTAAGTTCTTTGTTAATTAGAACACATAGGCAAGTAAGCAGGGTCTGGCAAGGCAAAACCAGTGTTCACATAAATATGAGATCAATAATTCAGCAAATAAAAAGTATTTCTTTCAGTGCAAAGTGGTGTGAGACCTATGCAGCTCAGCAGAGGAGCCTCTAGCTTGGGCCATCATATTCTCAATTCTATTCGTAGTTTCCCTAACCATAGAGAACTCGGACAAATCTGGTAGGTCAAGAACAATATGAGCAGAGAGACGTTTATAAACAGAATTAGAGTCCTTTTTATTTCTCCTAGCTTCTTCATATTTTAATTGTTGTTTTAAAAATATTGATTGCTTCAACATCTCTTGTATGTTCTTGAAACTTGTTGCGGCACCATCCATTGATTTTACTGCACTGGAATTTTAAATTGACATAAATTAGAATTGTGTTGTTAAAATGTATAACAAAATAATGTAAGGTTGTAAATTGATAATCGACTGCACTGTCAGAGTCCTGCATGGATTAACTCTTTCTTCTAATTGTTGTTTCGGGTCTGGGAGTCATGTGTATGTGAACTTGTATATTTGTAAACACACCGATGACACAGGACAAAATCAGAGTGTGGGGAAAAAATTAAAAACAATATAAATGAAAAAATGAAAAATGATACAAGAATATTTAACACTTCATTATTATTTTACAAACAGTTATCAGATCTGAAAAATAAGTTGCTGGTATTTGATAAACCTGGACTTGTACTACACTATAATCAAGCATAGAAACCTCTACAGCACATCATACTTTATATAAAAGAATGTTCTAGAAAGTACCTAAGTAAGGTACTTTATTTATATTAAAACTTTTGTGAGACACTAAATGAATTATTATGTTTTCGGCTTACTCAAGTAACTGTTCGTTAAGGGAATGAGCATGAGCTGCAGTTCCTCGTCAAACAGTTACGTGCACAAGCCTAAAACATAAAAATTAATTCAGTAAGGGTAGTAGTAAGGTACTTGTGAACATGAACTTAACTACAAAACCAATGAACATAATTACCTCAAAGCATACTCCACATCATAGCACCTGCCTTGTAACTCATGCTGCAGCTTCGTCACCTCAACTCTTCTTTCCACCATCGGAGGCAAAGCCTTCCTCACATGCTCTTGCAATCTATACAGCGCCAGTGAAGGCTCATTGGCAACTATATGCATATTCTCCGAAATCCGTTCAGCAGCTGAAGAATTCAACAGACCACAATTAAAAAGCGGGAAATTTATTAAATGGTGTAGGTATAATGTATTTAGAAATTAATATGGACGACTACGATGATGGTCCCTCGTTTTTTTTCTAGTATATTTTTATTCAATGGCCGCCCCTAAGACGACCCACTGACCCTTCAATGTGACTCCTCTGGTGTTGCGGGTGTCCATAGGTGTGCGTTACCCCAACAAGAAAGTATCTCCTAGAGATATATGAGTAGAACGTATAGTTGGTGCCTTATCTGCTGTAAATGTGCCCCCACTTAAAAAATGTGTGCCCCCTGTCGTTTTGAAAAAAAAACGGAAAAATGATTCTTGCTGGGGTAACGTTTTTCTAGCAGGAAAATTCTAAACGAGTGATCGGAGAGAGAAAAAATGTGCCTGGCCAGAGAGCTTATATGTGTGCCACTATGTGCCCCCAAAAATAAAATCTGTGCCCCTTCAGATTTTCGGGATATTGCGTTTCCTGCTGGAGTAACGTTTTGATGAATCGTATATCTCTAAAACCATTGCATGTGCCCCTGTAGAATAAACATACACGAGTAGCTCTTAATGTGTGCCCCTGTGTGCTCCAATTAGATTTAAGGAAATATTTATAGTTTTCAAGTTACCGCGGTTTTATGAAAATCCGAAAAAACATCGCAGCGCCTAAATGAGACAAGGTATAAGTTCGCTGAAAACTGTATTCGGTCCTTCTTGATGCTAGTAATAACCATACAAAGTTTCAAAACGCTTCATGCATGCGTTTTTGAATAATCTTGCTACAAGTCAAGACGATGGTGTCATAACTTTGACGGCAAAATACAAGGAAATGGCTAAATCCCAGATGTGTAGGTGTAAACCAAAATCATGTGCCTTTAATCAAAAATATGTGGTGAAAATATTAAGCTTGGAATGTTTCGCATTAAGTAAATATGAACAAAAAACCAAATTAAGTAAACAACGGCTGGTTATCCGACCAAATTTGAATGACTACTAAAAAGCGACGGATTCATACATATCGATGACCTTCTTTATTGGACGTATTATACCTAAGCTGTTGTCCGTGCAGTTGCGTTCAAAAGTTTTGGGGGCTAATTAAAAAATATTTAACCATATTTAATTAAAAAATATTTATTTAAAAGTATTTAACCATGTGGATATCGTCTCCATTGTATGGGATTCGGAGGCCATGTAGCACATTGGTACACTGGTATCTCTACTGTAGGCAACTACTGCATATAAAAATAAATGCTTAGGAGTGCGATATTTTAATAAATCATTAGAAGGTGGTGGCTCAATTGGCTGAAATAAGGAGCCAGTAGCATCAACAGAAAGTATTTTCTAAGAGTACTATCTAAAAAAAAAGAACTTCTAACTCGACGGTCCACAATGGAAATTTTAGCCAAAATACTTAATGAAAAAAAACCCAACTATTTCATAAGGTACAAGTATTTGTAAATAAGTCAAAATAATGATATTAAATACTTACCACCGCAGATAGTGCACTGAAATTCACCATAACAACCACATAATTGTTATAAAATGATTAAATACGCCACTTTCAACCAACTAAAGTAAACAAACAGTATAAGTGCAACTGCGTGACTCAACATAACAGTGTCCTTGGCGTCATTACATAACTGCAACTATTTACCAATAAAAAGAAATATCTAAACGCACTTCCTAGTCAATAAACACTTTGTACCTATTATTCACTAGTAGAACATAATCCAATAACAACTTGATTTTATTATTTATTACTTTTCTACTTCAGTGTACTCAGGCACAACACGTGTGAACCGGTTAGTAAGTAAAATAAAGAAGGTTATCGATATGTATGAATCCGTCGCTTTTTAGTAGTCATTCAAATTTGGTCGGATAACCAGCCGTTGTTTACTTAATTTGGTTTTTTGTTCATATTTACTTAATGCGAAACATTCCAAGCTTAATATTTTCACCACATATTTTTGATTAAAGGCACATGATTTTGGTTTACACCTACACATCTGGGATTTAGCCATTTCCTTGTATTTTGCCGTCAAAGTTATGACACCATCGTCTTGACTTGTAGCAAGATTATTCAAAAACGCATGCATGAAGCGTTTTGAAACTTTGTATGGTTATTACTAGCATCAAGAAGGACCGAATACAGTTTTCAGCGAACTTATACCTTGTCTCATTTAGGCGCTGCGATGTTTTTTCGGATTTTCATAAAACCGCGGTAACTTGAAAACTATAAATATTTCCTTAAATCTAATTGGAGCACACAGGGGCACACATTAAGAGCTACTCGTGTATGTTTATTCTACAGGGGCACATGCAATGGTTTTAGAGATATACGATTCATCAAAACGTTACTCCAGCAGGAAACGCAATATCCCGAAAATCTGAAGGGGCACAGATTTTATTTTTGGGGGCACATAGTGGCACACATATAAGCTCTCTGGCCAGGCACATTTTTTCTCTCTCCGATCACTCGTTTAGAATTTTCCTGCTAGAAAAACGTTACCCCAGCAAGAATCATTTTTCCGTTTTTTTTTCAAAACGACAGGGGGCACACATTTTTTAAGTGGGGGCACATTTACAGCAGATAAGGCACCAACTATACGTTCTACTCATATATCTCTAGGAGATACTTTCTTGTTGGGGTAACGCACACTGTCCATAGGCAGCGCTGATCGCATACCATCAGATGATCCGTCTACTCGTTTGCTTCCTATTCCATAAGAAAAACCACATCCGATGAGGTTATTTTTTTCTTGAATGACTAAAAGTAGAGTTACATAGACCTTTAGTTACCTTTTTTAGATTTCGATTCAAGCTCGGGGTCTCCTGGATAAACAAAAGCCATTTTTCTATATTATTTTATTTTATTGGCGAAACGGTTCAGCACAATGCACCTAAATGTAAAATTGTTTGCTTCACGGTCATACAATATTTTATTAAGAAAATAAGAGAAAATTCGATTACATACGAAACGTAGTTTATTGTTTTGTTGACATGATCATTGTATATTTTTGACTTTTGTCTTTTGACATTTGCTAATGACTGTCAGTTGGATATTAACATTTTAGAATTTCATTTTGGGTACCTACTTTATTTGTTGAGTTGTACCTCCATAACTATAAATTTTTCCATGATTTAAAATTTTAAATGTATTTGGTGGAAATAAAATTACACTCAGTTACAAAAGCATTTAACATCTACAACAACTATTTTTCTTTACAAAGCATTTAATCGGATATTGATGTTGCGCTAAGTTTTTGTTACAAAAATATCACCCACATTAACAAACATAACATTTTTATAGATTGGTTCTTGGAACCAAAAAAATAAAATAAAACCCATTTGAACTTCTGATTTTTCTATTTCTGAACGAACAAAGTGTAGCCATATGTATATCTAAATTTCTACCAAAATGGTTTAAGGTTACCTACTGTTTGTTAAAAAACCAATACCTAACATTTTAATACTAACTTGCAGGTAATTATAATTATTATAAAATTTGATTTTAATGAGTATTCATAAAACAATTTGAAATTATAATTATTTTAATTGCTTATATCTCTTCAATAAATGTAAGTATGAATACGAATACAACTTTAAAGCTACTGTCAGAATACCTATCAACTTGACAATCAACTTCTGCTGTAAACAAATATTTTTGGTTATTCTTATCTCAAGAAATTTCATAATTCTTATCTACTACCGGTCATAATCATAAATTATTGTTATTTAGTACAGTTGTGTGTTATTATCAAATATACTGCATGAGTGATCTGTGATTCTGTGATCGTAAAAAAAGAATTGGTTGTTTTTGTTTTTGCTTCTATGATGAATACCATGGATTATTCAAATAAAAAGGTAGGTGGATAAATATATCAAACGGGTAATTATATTTAGAATAAAGGAGGTAGTTTATATGTGTATTGTAAGTTACCGGCATTAATATAAACATTTTTCATTGAAGAAACACCTACCTTATCAAATTAATTGAGTGTTTATTTAAAACTTATCTTCACACCTACTGATAGTCTCTACGTTTAACCATTTTGTTTGATCTATTATATTGACGTTACAGGACCCAACACTGTTCAGTAATATATTGGGAATAGTATTGAACATATTTTTTCCAATCAAAATGTTGTTAAGGCTTTATTCACTGTGCATTTTAATGGTGGATATTGGATGGGTATTGCTGAACGCAATCTGTGCAGTTTTACAAGCTGTTTACGAACTATTTAAACCACCACCATTAAAATCGGTCCGGTTAGAAACTGCCTTGGTAAGTGAATATCTTTATCTAAATCCATTAAGCTAAATTTAAATAAAAATTTAATCTTGCAGATTAATTTTATCACTTTCGTTTGTATATTATTTATAGCGGTATTATATGGATTATGTATTATCGTAAAATACAGCATGGGAATAGGAATTTCTATCTTTCTATAAATTCTGTATAATTTTCAGGTTATTGGTGCTGGACGAGGGGTAGGCCGCGAACTGTCTATACAACTTGCTAGCTTGGGAGCAATAGTTGTGTGTGTGGACAAAAACAGTTCTTCCAATGAGGCCACCGTAGAACTAATAAAAAAGAAAGGTGGTACTGCTATCAGCTACAAATGTGATATCACCAAGAGACAAAATGTCCACACTTTAGCCACTCAGCTGAAAAAAGATCTAGGGTTTGTCAGTATGTTGTTCTATTGTTGTGGAATTCCAAGTCCAAGGTCATTGATGACTCAGCCTCCACAGGACATTCATGAGACGCTCGATTTGACACTAACTTCATATTTTTGGGTAAGAAACTACAATTAGGAAATATAAAATTAATTTGTATTTTAAGTATTTGATTAATTTTAGAAATAATTTACAAAGTAATACTTTTACATCTTATGTTATATTATTCGATTATAAATCGTCGTAAGTCATCCATTTCATTTAAAATAATTTCCGTAGGTATTTTTAATGATTTTTGTAGGTACCAGTAATATTTGTAGTGAAGTTTGAAAAGAACCTGTTTCCTTAATTTTATTTCAGCTAATTGATCACTTCCTGCCTGATATGAAAGCTAAGAATCATGGGCATATTGTTGCTCTAACATCTGTTGCTGGACTAAGCTATATCAAAGATCAGATGCCACTAAGTGTTGCCCAGTTTGCAGTTCAAGGACTTGCAGAATCTCTTACAGAAGACCTAAGAGTAAACAAAATAGATGGAGTACATGTGACACTTACACATATTTATCCATTTATTGTCAGTGACGAAAGTGCTGAAATAAGACTAAGGTATGTATGCATCAATAATAATAATTCTGCACAAAGTATTTTCTTATACTTACACCATAAAAAATAGAAAATATACAATTAATGAAATATAATTGATGGAAACTGTATAAATGAATTTTGGTATAAGTGATAGAAGTATATTACATTACACTTTATATTACAAAAAGGGTGATGCAATGTATATTCTCTTACAGTTGGTATATTGGGATTAAATTATTCGTATTATTTAGTATACATATTTTCATTGCATTGCCATTTGTTTCATAAAATAACAATAATTTTCAAATTAAAAAGCCAATACCTGCTTTGGGTAAACACCACGGTGTAGATTTTTATATACGACAATAGAGAATATTGTCTATATCTTTTTTTGGTTTTGTTACAGAATTCCAAGTTATTTTGGAACAATGACTCCAAACAAGGCAGCAACGTCAATTCTTGACAGTGTGCGTCGGAATTACTTTGAAGCATCAGTGCCAAATCATCTTTTGTACCTCGGTCACCTTTTACGTATCTTACCACGAAAAGCTACAGTGCTTATCAGGGATTTACTCGATACTGGAGTGGACTTTGCATGACGAATTTCGTAATTTATTTTATCTTTTTATTATACTTACGTCATAATCAATGATTGTACATTGATTGTATTGTGTTTTAGAATAAGGATAGTAGAGCACAAAATCGTATTAATTTGTCATATTTTTTTATTGTATTTTATGATGCATTTGTTCAGCAATAAAACTATAATTCTGATAGATTAGGTAGTAGGTACGACTATTTTAGATTGTCAAGGTCCCTGCAAACCTTTATGAGCACCAATTATTATAATATGTAAAATATGATCTGCTCCTTCATAAAAATGAATTTACATACAGTTTCTTGATGCTCCACTAATATAGGTACATAATTGTTAAGTTTGTTAAGTGATACAATATGATTTGGTAAAATATGATTACAATGCATTTTGCTCAATTGAAATTGTGAAAAAGACTTATGGTATATGTTCCTCGTCATATTTGTTACTAAGCGCGGGAAATATATCATTTATGCTGTTTAGATATTAAACTACTTAGATATATTTATTTTATTAAAATTCTACTATTTTTGATAAACATTTACAAAATTGGTGATTTACTTTTTGAAAATTTGGAAAGCCAAAGAAGTGTAGTAATTACATAATAAACATATTCTATAAACAGATTATTTTTTAATATGCGCTTCATTTTTTAAGATGGTAAAATTTACAATTGACGAAAATAAAAACTACCAATACGAAGACCTGCTATTTGATAATGGCAACACTTTAGTCTAATGTCAAAAGAATATTTGCATTGTGGCGCCATCTTAGAATTTTTTCGTTTTCGCAACTAGTTTCCGTGATTTGCTTTTGATAAAAACAAAATAAAATCGGCAAATATACATTGTGCATAGTGCTTTTGTTTTTAAGTGGAACTTTTGATTGAATTCGAGGACTATTTTACAGCTAAATAATACTGAGTGCGGTGTGGCGACACATCGTTAGGTAAGTTCTTGCTTATTTCTATTGGAGACTGACACCGAAAGCCGATCGATATTAGAAAACTTATGTTTTATTGGTTAATTTGGTCACGATTCGGTAATAATTCATTAGTTTTATGTATAATCTACGTAATTACTTCATGAAAATACTACGACCCATTTATTGTTAGCGCATATGGGGACAACTTTCTAAAAGGCATTAAGTATACCTACGCAACATTAACTTACTTGGTCGCGAAAATATTATAATAAGAATGAAGAAACTCCTATTACGTTGCTTCGAACCTGGTTATACGTTTCGCTATACAATATTGTATATTTTTTAGTTTTCTAGGAGTTGTAACAATTACCCACTTAATGTGACAAAAAATACAAAACAATATACTACCTACTTAATAATAATAGACGCATAAATTATGTAGCAGTTTCTCCAGTTTTGCTTAAAGATTTATGAGTAACTCATTACTATAATGTAAGTAAATGCTAAAATATTAAATAAACCTATTATGTAGGGTTTAAATTTGAAGTAATGTGTCCAATTTTTTAAGATTTTTTAATAATAAATAATGAAGACTAACACATTAATTATATTCTAAACGCTGTTTGAAATTATATCAACTCACAAAATTGAAGATAACCACCCTGTTCACTGTTATATTTCTGTTCTAGTCCTTGTGAACATTGAAATATGATGTGATACCTACATTTTTAAAAAACCTTTATAATCTTCTTAATTCCCGATTAGGAAAAATCCACAACACTTGTTCATACAAAAGTACTCTCTAAACATTAGAAATAATGCCTAAAATGGAGTAAGTGGAGAGTGGTCACCGGTGACTGCTTGAACTGCTGGCTTATACATTAATTAATACAGAACTGACTGGGCGGTAGTACCTAAAAGATTTTAACACAACTTTTTTTAAATTCTTGACCATAAAGTCACAGTTGCATGCGTCCATATTGGCAGTTAACCGTTTAATATGAGACACAATACAAAATACAGTGTGTCTCACGTGGATCCACGGTTAGACACACGATGGGTTAAACCTTGTCTATCATAAGATACTTATAAAAGTATTGTGAATTATAATACATACATGAAACAAACCAACACTTTTATTTCACCTGTACAATAATAATCATCATTATTTGCACATTTTCGAATAAAAAAAAATAATCGCTTATTTTATTTACTTAGGTACATATCGAGGGGTAACGGACCCCCCCCATATAATTTATGAAGTTTCTTGATGTACAAGAAGAAATGCACTCACTTGATAGTCGTTTGTTTATTAAACTATCGAAGTTAATACACCTACCAACCATATGGAAACGAAATGACATCTGGGTACATATATCCTACTAATTGCTTGTTATGCACATACAGTCTCTCGGTCCCTTACAGTACAGTGCATAATTGAATGAATGATACGAAGAAGAAATTATGCCTTTTCAAATTTAATTATCAATTGTTTTCACACATTAGTGTTGCATTGTTTTGTTGTGCGGTTTAACCTTTTGACCTTCAAATGTCATTTGTATACACATGTTAACAAGTTTATTATTGTATTTTTTATGTATTATTAGGAAACAGGTGGCAACTTATGTTTTAAGAAGAAAAGTACAATGGCAAACTTTTAGAAAAATGTAATTAGAACATAGTTGTTCTAATTATGAACATAGGTAATCTAGTGATTATTGTGACAAAATTTTTTAACATCAAATTCAAAGAAATACTAATTGTAAGGACAAGCGTATTGCCGGTCTGATTAATCTCGAACAAAAAGGGGGTGGTTATACACTCGACACGCCTTTTATACTGAACAAAATTTTTTTCGACCTTCAAAAATTCCTAGCAGTATTTATTCAATGTGTATCTTCTATTTTGTAAATTAGGTGGGTATTTATGCAATCTATTTTATCAAAACTGTATTGTTTCTGTAAACAATCACTCTTCTATGTTAAGTTTAGACACACTTTATAGTAAATGTAGTATTATTTTTTTAATTTGAAAACTGAATTCATGTCTCATTCGCCATTATTAACTCGTCGAGTACCGTCATTATAGACACAATTATAGAACATTAGGTTGCGGTCACCGGTGACCGCTCGGTGTTTGACAGTTTAAAGGTGATACAGATTATTTTATTCAGATTTATTGGAAAAAGTACTGCGAAAATTACTTTGATAGACAATATAATTCATATCCACTGTAGGCCTATGCCAAAAATACTAGTTATTTAAGAAAAATATGACTTAAAATGTCTATAGAAATGTAATGTGCCATTATTACAGCATACCATCTATATTCCTGTCTAACTTCTTGATGTCCAATTATTAAAAAAATCCACAACATTTTTTCATACAAAAGTAGTCATTAAACATCAGACATAAGGTCTATAAGGGTGTAGGTGGAGAGTGGTCACCATTGGCCACTTGATGCCTAATATTTTAACTCCAATAATGTGTACCTTGTTGTAGAAAAATGATAACTTTCCAACACATCTACGAATTACGTACAATTGTACAGAATAAATTGTAAACGACAAAACAACCTTAAATGAAAAAATATCAAGGTACAGTTGGTAGAAACCTATACGTCTTTATATTAATAATAACGACACCCATTGCCGACCGAATGTCGTAATTTTTTGGCGCATTCATTTCTACTTTTTTGATTAATTGCTCCCTAATGACATAAAGCATTAGCAGCGCGTAATTTATTGTTAATTTCGTGGTTACCCGTGAATTTGATCTTATTTATCGAAAAAATGAATAATCGACTACATTTTTCATTGATTTGGCGTTATTCGAATTCAGATAGTAATTTGTGTAGAAAGTAATCGGTACGAATTTCAAAGATGTCCTTTAGGTTTGAGAAATCGTGAAAGACCATTGTCACCATGATTGTAAAGGCTATAGAACTAACAAGACTGATGAAAAACTCCGGCTTTTTTGTTGTTATAACCATTGATCAATGTAAATTTTGATTCATCATAAATTTTGATCGGTTGACTTATATTATGTTGACTTTAGTAATGAGTTAGGTGCGTCGCGTCGTTAAGGTACGGTTACTGACCCAACAGTTCACACTACGTCGCTGTATATTTTAATAAATTTAACTACATAGTATCTCTAATGATACTTATTAGTTCGACAAAAATTTAAAAACATCAAATGACCTTAATTGATAATTGGGTTTGGAATGTAGCTAGGTACGTTTTTTTCTCCCGAAAATCAATTCATACATTTAACCATCAGCCCTAGGGGTTTGAAATTAATTTGAGACCCAACCGTTTTGCTATTATCCAATAATCGAGTCAATGATCAACATCAATCCAATTAGGCATACGAGTTTAGATAATTGCTACGTGAATTGTTCTGAGGATCCTGACTTAAGAACAACTTCATAATGTATTATGTACGCACATTGTTGAACTTCGAATCCTCTTACCATCCAATATCGTATCGAAAAGCCTGTCAGAGTGACGTACCGTAGCTACTGTTATTGCATTATGGACTCACAGGCACTTTCTTGACGAACACGTGTGGAATACATCGTCAGTGACTTCAAGGTTGCCCCGTTGTATCAAAGTCACCTCGGGCATAAAGCCCTTGGTACCGAATGTCATTAAAATTCTTTTCACGGCGTATCAGCATAATTTGCTAGGATGTGCCTACACAGCCACGGCTCCATCCCGAGTCTACCCAATCCGGCCTTTTATTCCCATATGTTACTTTATTACGACCAATATAGATACATTTTTGTCGGTTAAAATTGGATCCCAGTTACGAACGTTTCTTTATGTTTTTAATTTTAGTAATTGGTAAAATGTTCGCGCTTGGTTTCAACTGCGTGTGAATGGATTGTTATAATTGGTTTATGTGCAAAACGACTTGCAAAATGTTACCGTTGTTACGAAACCATTCTTTAATTAATTTGTGTAGAAGTATTTAACTATCCGCGTACACAGATGTATTAAGGTGTACCTATTGCCTAAAGCATTTATATACAGAAAGTAAAGTTAAAAAGGTTCAGGAGCAGGTGTTTGCCCGCCGAGATCGTTTTCCAAACTGCGGTTTTTCCACAGTTAAATTTGAATAAGGCATTATTTTACCCCAGCTCTTATTGGACGCCTGCTTTCTTTGTAAATCCGCCTTTATGCGTCGGATACGTCCCGAGTATTTATTGAGTTTCTGTAAAACAGCTCTGTAAACATCTTTAGTTTCTTTTAAATACCATTATCTGAGAATTAATTATTTACAAATTTAATTTTCTGCTACAGCGGCCTAGAGATATAATTTAATATTTAATTTAACAATGCCGAGTTTTCATAAAATATTTAAATAACATGATGCAACTTGTTTCATCAAACAAGATTTAAAGTTTAAGCGAAAGTTCGTTATGAAAATATCGTTTTATTCTTTGTAGAAAGTTTATTTAGGCTACATTGTCCCTGCAGCTGAACTTATTAAAACTTAAGAAGCATTCAGATGTTATTTTCAAAGTATTAAACATAAAATTGTATGTACCGACTAACTACTAAAATTCGCTGCACGATGCGTTCTAGAAGCTTTTCGTGGTCATGGCTTAGGATAATAAGAGAGACTATAATTATAATGTTGCGTTCCATTTATCACTCGTACGTCAATATAGCTAGCGGTAAATTGTTAATAGTCTGCCATCGGTCTAGCTACAAGTTGTGGGCTTAGATATTGATCGAGTTTGCACCGTGAGCCTAAAATCTAGAGCTTAGTATAGTAATTGTGTTTATTCATAAATGGAATTCTCGATTATAGTCTGATTGAATTTCAGTTATGATAACTATCTATTAGTGCTTATCTCATACTACAGGCTGCCGATGCAGAATGCAGTTAATTTATTTTACGATTTAGGAACGGTAAATGGCTATTCCTTGATTAACTAAAAAATAGAACTTTCTGACGTAAATATTATGTATTGAGAAAAGCTCTACTAGTTTCGAGTCACAGAGGGACTCTGGG